GGCGGGCTGGGGGTGCGTGGAGTCCCGGCCCGAGAGCGCTGTCCCCGCCTTCCGCGTCGTGCCTTTGGTGACGTTCGCGGTCGCTTAGGGGGCGTGTGGCGTTGTGCGTGCCGAACTCGACCCTCTTTGGCGGAACGCTTTCGGGTAAATCAGTCGTGTGAAAATGGAAGAAAACCGACACTCTGTAAACTTCCCCATTAGCTCAGGACGTGGTAAATCGAATCGTTAATACGTTCACGGTCTAGTTACGGTGTGTTTCCAGTGAAGTACGTGGTGGTTTCTTTCCCGTATTTTTCTTTAGTTAGGGCAGCAGAAGAGACTTTGGGGTGCTGGTACTTTAAAAACAGAAGCTGAATGAGAAGTCGTGAGATGTTAGAGATGCTTTGCTTTTATGAGAATAGTAACGTTTATGGGTGATACGTGTGATGGGATGGATTTATGCTGACCAGGTGTAACGGGACAGTTTCTTTCCAGTATCTCATAGGAAACTTTTTTAACCTAGTGTGTGCAAGGCACTGTCTTGCACTTACCTCTGAATCTCAGCTTAAATATTTTTGTGTTAAAACAAAGGGAAGTAGATTTGAAAATCTAACCCAATCCGCTTGCCTATGTTCATTTGTAGCTTTCAGCCAGAGGTCAGCTTCTTACTGTATTTGTTCTTTGAACCTGATGCATTTTGGCTGGGGCTGTTCTAAGCGCTGCGGTGCAAACAGTAACCACTTGTTGCAATTACTGAAGTGCAGTCCTTCAGAGTTACTATTTATTTGATAAAATGTTTCAATTTTCTGCTAAAAACTTCAATTTACTGTTTTTTTAATTGAATTGTTAGTTAAGTTTTCCTGAAACAATACTTTTTTCCTTGACACTGTTTAAGTTAAATGCTGTTTTAATAAATTAAGCTGTATTACTAGAAAAACATTTTTTCGCTTGCTCTTAGTTGCTGCCACTTAATAGCTGTCATAAGCTTCAGATAAATACAAAATGTCCTCTAGGGGGAGATCTTGGTGCTTTTATGTGCTAAAATGTTGGTCACCTTGTTCCAGTTAATCGTCTTGATCACTTACAATGGAAAGGGTCTGTGATGATGAATGTGTATGTCTTAACAGGAACCTGTCTGCTGGATCTGTGCTTGGAAATGTCATTACAGAATACTGACCATAGCCTGTAATATAACACTGTGTAGATTAAATGAAACATGCTTGTTTCAATTCAAATAGACTTAATACTGAAGTTAAATGAGTAACCTTTACAAGTTCGAGAGCGGTACTCCTGCAGTAGTATTTGTAGGCCCTACATTTGTGGCACCAATTCTGCAAATGCTTATGCAGATACTGGCTTTCATACAGCATCCTCATTTTAATCAAGATGCTTTTGAGGGCAATTTCTTTGCTGACCTAAACCAAAAATTTCAGTGGCTGATCTGAAAGTGTTGTGGGTTAAATCACATAGCCTAGTGAGTACTAACAGCTGGATGAGGAAACAAAGCAGAAATAAAGTGTCCCATTTAGTCAATCTTAACAATTGAAGGGTAGTAGTACTTTTTGACTACAAACAGCAGAGGCTGAAAGATTATTTTTGCAGACACATCAATTGTTTGAATGTAATTAAGCCTATACTCCACATGCTCCATCCAAATTATTGGAAGAAGCTTGGTGGGATTGTTAATGGCGGGGAGTTATTCAGCATGTTACATATGCAGTCTCAGCATGAGATTTCTTTCTCACAGACACTTTGAAAAAAATTATTTCACAGTAAACAAGGCATCTATGCTCTTATTTTTCTGTAAGTAAATGCAAATAGTGAATGCAGTGTAGCTTCTGGCATAAGTCTGTTCTGTAAAACAAAAGGCTGTGTGGAACTTGGTCTGTGGATGTAGTTGGAAAATTTCCTCATACTGCAAGGCTGCTGAATGGGTCAAAAAAGTATTTACTCCTTTAGTGGCCAGTTGAATCCCTTCTACTTCTTTCAAGTCATCTGTACTGTTAAGAAATAGCTATTATTAGACTGACTCCAAAATAGTTGTAGTATTTGTATTCTTATCAATATACATACCAAACGAGTGCATAATTAATTACCCTATTGTGTGTGTGGAAGTGTTACTGTAAGTAAGGTTAAAGTGATTTACAGTACTTATGTTGCAGGTTTGTTTTCCTTTTCATACTCACTTTCATTGTTTTGTGGTATGCAAATGCATCTCTGCAATGCATTAAAGATGTATGCAAAGTGCTTGGAGGCAAATGGTGTTGCATAATTGAATGTGCAGATGTGTTATAATAGAGGAATGAATTCCATTAATAAACAAAAATAAAAGTTATGGGTTTTTTTGTTAAGAAAAGCATATTGATATCCTTAAGTTACTCAGATTGTAGATTCTGTAGTAAATTGAGCTCTGAATAATCAATTCTTTATTGTAGATCATAATTTTGGAGAATTCCAGCACGGAGATTTCTGGAGTGTGCTGTCTGTAGCCATAATGAGTTCGTCACTGGTTGCTTATGATGATTCAGACTCTGAGACAGAAACTGAAAAGACTGAAGTCCCCTGTACTTCTAGCGGACGAACAAGCCATCCAAGTTCTCCTGTGGATCGTGTTCAGTACTTTGCACCTGGTAGTTTGGGTACAAAATCTACATATGAAATGCAGACTACTGAGAACACTGACAGTTCTGGCACAAGCACTGTTTGTGAAGAGCCCTCTGAGCATTATGCACAGAATAATAACACTGATTTGACACCTCCTTATTGTAGGAGAGCATACTCTGGCCATACTGCATTATGTATGTCCTACAAAAACTATGAACAGACTTCAAGCTCTTCAACAAGCTCTGGAAATGGCGTTTCACAGAAGAGAACATATAAAGACAGTACTACTGCCATAAAAGGAATTAGACCATATATCCCTAAAAGGTTGCGTCAAGAAAATTCCAGTATGCCTGAAAAAAAAGAATCTGATCAGAGAGAGAGCTCAGATTGTGAAGTTAAGCTAGGCATATCAGCAGAGCAAACTTCGAGAAAGATCTCTGAATTAATTAAGCCATATTTGGGATCCAAATATAAATTAACGGAAGTCCCCAAAAGCTTAATATTTTACCTGTTTAAGCACAGCGGCCCTGTTAATGAAATCCAGTGGTGTCCTGTACGAGAACAAAGTCACATGCTTCTCTCGGCTTCTATGGACAAAACAGTCAAGGTAATGTAAAACAAGATGCTTTGCAGACCAATCATCAAACTTAAAAATACTGTGTTAAATAACAGTCTTCTGGGAATAACATCCTTGCTTGTGTGTGTTTAAAAGTTCCAATGTATTCAGAATTCGAGGAGATGCTTTCAAGTACAAGACCCTATTATGAACTTGCAGCCTAATCCTTCACTATACTGACAGTCAGTTCCATTATTTTGGAATGTGGGTTGTTTTTTTATTAGACACGTCAGTGTTTTAGATCTGAATTTAAGAAATTAGTTTTCTACTAGGTCATTTCTCGTCAGCTGTATTAATGGTAGGTTTTTGTTATTTTCTACTTTGACATCACGATGGCCACAAGCACTGTGGTCTGGGTACAGCTTCTGCCTTAAGTCATTAAACACCTGACTGCCAACACTGGAATAATATTGTGAGGAACTTTACCTTTCTGTGACTACGGCTGGAGGAGGTACATCAGGTCAGATGGATTTTTCATCTGAGCTAGTGTGGCAGGTCTTGCATCCCGGAAAGATCCTGTCGTCATCTAGGGAGTCTTCCCACTTTAAGTTTATTTCAAGGGTTAATTGCTCAATACTTAAAGTGTACTTTCATTCTAGCTTTAGCGAATCTGGCTGCTTCTCCTTGTTAATTTAGTCGGTCCAAGGAGTCTTACTTTTATTTTTAACAATGGGTAATAGAAATATGTTATGTGTATGCTTTCCCGGATATATGGCTACTGCCAACTCTGGGTTTGAATAATAATCTTCCAAGGTGGGTTTACACAGGAACGTAGTTTTGATAAGAGCTCGCAAAGTGTTCTCTTTGGTGGAAGGCATGCTTTATTGTGTCTAACATGTATTTAACATAGCAGGTCCAGTTATTTTAAAACTTAGTTCTAAAATTTAGGGCTTTAAGTAAATCCTACTAAGAGGCAAGAACGCCCTTTGCATATATTTCTAAAGCCAAAGGAGAGTAGGGAACTTTAAAACTGAATTTGAATTCTGATTTCATGTAGGAAAAAATATTCTTAAATTCTTTTAGAATTTTTTTCTATTTTTAATTTGTAGTGGAGAATTAAGTTTAGTTTAGTTTGGCTTTTTATGATTTTTTTTTTTTTTAAATTTTAGAATTT